ATCAGAAAGGGAAACAAAGAAAACAATCCCTTTCACAATGCATCAAAAAGGACAAAATATGTAGGAATAAATTTAACCAAGTATGTAAAAGACCTGTACTTGAAAAATTTGATAAGACATTGAAGAAGAAAGTTGAAGAAGATACAAATTTAGTGGAAGCACATACCATGTTCATGGATAGGAAGAATTAACATCATTAAAATGTTCATACTGCCCAAAGCAATGTATAGATTTAATGTAATTCCTATCAAGATACCAATGGTGTAGCCTTGGCTAGGTGGTTCATTTGGTTGGAGCATTGTCCCCGTACACAAAAAGATTATGGGTTTGATTCCCAGTCAGGGCACATGCCAAGGTTGTATTTGATCCTTGGTCACAGCATGTATGGGAGGCAACTGATTGATGTTTCTTTTTCTTTCTCCTCTCCCTTCCTCTCTTTCTAAAATCAATAAAGACATATCCTTGGGTGAAGATATTTTTAAAAAAGGCTACCAAAGGTGTATTTCACAGAACTAGAACAAATATTGCAAAAATTTATGTGGAACCACAAAAGATGCTGAATAGCCAGAGAAACCTTGAGAAAGGAGAAAAAAGTTGGAGGAATCAAAACAGCATGGTACTAGCATAAAAATAGACATATAAATCAGTGGAACAGAATAGAGTGCCCAGAGATAACCCACGCCTTCATGGTCAATTAATATTTGACAAAGGAGGCAAAAACACAATGGGCTAAAGATAGTCTATTCATAAATGGTGTTGGGAAAATGAGATAAGTGCAAAATAACTGACATTAGACCACCTTCTTACACCATACACAAGAATAAACTCAAAATTGGTTACAGGCTTAATTTTAAGACTTGAAACCAGACAAATTCCAGAAGAAAAAGATAGGCAGTAAAGTCTCGAACATTCCTTGAAGCATTATTTTTTTTTTCTGATATATCTTTTCAGGTGAGGGAAACAAAAGAAAACATAAAAAAGTGACTACATCAAACTAAAAAGTTTTTGCATAGCAAAGGGAACTATTAACAAAATGAAAAGACAACCTACTGAATGGGAGAACACATGCACCAATGACACATCTGATAGGGGGTTGATATCCTCAACTTATAAAGAACTTATATAACTCAACACCAAAAAAATCCCAAACAAATTCCAATTTAAAAATGGGCAAAGGACCTGAACAGACACATCTCCAAAAAGAACATACAGATGGTCAATAGACAAACGAAAAGATCCTCACCATCACTAATCACTAGAGAAAAGCCCATTAAAACCACAGCGAGATATCACTTCACATCTGCTAGAATGGCTATCATCGATAAATCAGCAAACAAGTGTAGGTGAGGACATAGAAAAAGGGAACCCTAGTGCACTGTTGGTGGGAATGCAGATTGGTGCAGCCGCTGTGGAAAGCAGTATGAAGTTACCTCAAAAAATTAAAAATGGAATTGCCTTATGACCCAGAGACTCTACTTCTGGAAATATATCCAAAGAAATCTGAAACACTTATTCAAAAGACTATATGTACCTCTATGTAAACTGCAGCATTATTTACGATAGCCAAGATTTAGTAGGAGCCCAAGTGTGTATCAGTAGATGAGTAGATACAAAAGCTATGGTACATTTACACAATGGAATACTACTCAGCCTTAAAAAGGAAGGAAATCTTATCATTTGTAACAGCATGGATGGACCTGGAGAACATTATGCTGAGTGAAATAGCCCAGTCAGAGAAAGACAAGTACCATAATGATTCCACTCATATGTGAAATTTAATGAACAAAATAGAAACAGACTCATAGATTGGGAACAGACTAACTGCTAAGAGGAGAGGAGGGTTTCAGGTGATAAAAGTGAAAGGATTAAGCACAAATAAAATAATAAAATAAGATAAAATAAAAATCCTCAAAGGCACAGGCAACAGTATGGTGATTACCAGAGGGAAAGGGAGGTGGAGGGGGGTAGAAATGGGTATAGGGATGTGTAAATGGTGACAGAAGACTTGACTTTGGGTGGTGAACACATAATACAAAATACAGATGATGTATTATAGAGTTATATACCTGAAACCTGTATCATTTTATTAACCATTGTTACCCCCAGTAAAGTCAATAAAAATTTTTAAATATAAATAAAATACCTCATGATTTTGAAAAAAATCTTTCTATATATCTATATATGTGTGTGTATGTTTGTTTCTATATGTTTCTGTTTCCAGAGAACTCTAATGCATGGCAATTAAAAAAAGGTTACTGTGAGGGACTCAACTTTCCTCCAGGCTCAATGTGACTTTGGATACAGCATTCATTCTCTTCGAGCCCAAACTTAGCAGGGAGGTTCCGTGAGGTGATGCTATGTGAGACACAATTATGAAAGTTAATGGCTTCTATTTCTTGAGCTCTTAACACAATAGCCAATACATAGTGACTATTTCGCATGCATTCCTATTTGGTTCTCACAATAACCATGGGATTTGTATCATTATTACCCTCATTTTGCAGATGAACAAACGAAGGCTTTCAGAGATCAACTAGTTTTCCCAACGTTAAATTGGGTCTGTCTCATTTGGTTGACACTAGACCAAGTTGGTTGACACTGTCTCATTTGGGAAATAGGTTGGACTATCTCCCAAAGGTGATAAAATGGCAAATGTCACTATCTCCAAGTAAGCCAGGGAATTTTTCCAAACCTCTTACTGCAAATCCATTGACAAATGGACTTGGTACATGAAACAAAAGAAACACCATGTCCAGGCCTCTTTTTCCTACAAGAAAAACCATTGCTTCTAGACAGGCCAGAGAACTGAGCAGGCAACAAGAGAGATCTACCCAGAAGTATTTGGACTGGGGTGGGAGTGAAGGCTATTACACAGGCCACCTCGCCACCTTACCTTTCCCAATTCCACCCTGCCCCATGTTAACTGAGAAAACAGGAGGTGGAGGGGATCTTGGAGAGCTGGTTCCCTTTCTGAACTTTTCACCCCCAATTTCTGTCCTTGTGATAAAACTGGAGATGCTGGGGCAGGCGTGAAACACCAGCTTCTGGGTCAGAAGCTAACCTGAAAAGGACTTCAGAAATCTGGGTGGAGGTTTGAACCACTGGGGGAATTACAATGGGACTCTTGCAATCAGCAACAGTCTCCAGCTGGGCAGTCAGCGCTCCTACTACACCCTCAGCCCCAATCCTCAGTCTCCCCTTTCCTTGCCCACAGGGAAGAGCAATAACATATTTCATGCTGCAGCCAGATGCTATAAAAGCTTAACCCTACTTGTTGACTCTTGCACTGATATCCTACCCACAGCCTTGGCGGCTGGAGAAGTCCCAGGGATGGGGGAAGTCTCTCTCCAAGGTTCCAACTCAGAGAACAGGGACATTGTGCAGGAAGGTGGGAGGCTCACTCTCAAGGGCAAAGGCAGTAGGGAAAGATTAGATCTCTGCTTTCTGAGGGATCCAGCCACTATTTGATTTTCTGGGAAAAGAACACACTTGACAAAATTGTCCTGGAGTTCAGGTGGGGAAGAAGGAGGTGTTCTGGTCCTATCAGCTTCCCTCTCACCACACACAAACTCACCTGGCCATACCTGAATCTGAGAACCTATCTGGGGCCTGCTGAGTAAGAAACGGCCACAAAGTCTTCCCAACTCTGACCACTCATCCTCCCCCCCCATCTCTCATGGTCCACCCGTGTCCTGTGTCAATGACAGTTGAGTAGTCCTGGCACAGATGAGCAGTCAAGCCTTCACTGTCCACTGGATCTCAGTCCTCCATGCTATCTATAGCCACTTTGTTGGGTCCCTCGCTGCCTCCCAAGCTCTGTCCCCTTTCCTCTCAAGCTCCCAGACTCTAAGATGGAGGAGAAAGAGGTGGCTTAGTCAATGGTCCCACGGCCCTGGCATAACTCAGCTGCCCAGCTATCTAATTGGCTTCTCCTGCCCACTCCCCCAGAAACATAACAGGGCCTCTTTTTATCAGGAGAGAGGCTGGGAGTTGGTCTAGGAGAACAGGTGACACCTCACTCACCCTCTTTTCCTTCAGGATTCCTGCTGTTGGGTCATTGTTAGGCACCACCTTTCCAGGCCTGTTTACTGAGAAACTCGCAACATCTCAACTCTCCACGCCCCCCAACCTTGGGGCCAAGTCCACCTTCTGGTTTCCTCCACAACTTACTAACACACTAAGTAGAGGCTAGTCTCTGCTACCCTCCCACAATCAGAGCCAAAACATGAGGGTTGGCCAGCCCTCCTTCCAGGCACTGTAAGGGGTGGCATCTCTCTCAAGAGCATGTGAACTTAATCTGGGGCTTCTCCCCAGGTCACCCTGCTTTCCAGACTGAAAAGGAGAGGTAGCTTCTCCTAGGGTTGGGAGAGACCAGGGACAATCAGTTCTGTCTAGCACGGCCCTCCCCGCCTAGCCTAGGAAAGTGAAACAGGAGAGGTGGTTCACAGGCTACAAGATGTCAGGGCTGCAAAGCCTGGAGCCACTTCACTGTCCTGTGCACAGGTGAGAAAAAAGGCCTAGAGAAGAAAAAGGACTTGCCCTAGTTCACCAAGCAAGAGCCTGGACCTTTGATTCCTGGCCCTGGAGTCCCCCCGCCCCCCAGTAAGAGCATGCAGAAATTACTCCAAGAGGAAGTCTGGGTCATTAATATTGACTTTTGAAAGAGGGTCTACTCCTCTGGGAGTCTTCGGGAGAGTTGGAAGAAGAAATGGGGAAAGGGCTGGCCAGGGAGTGAGTCAGGTCTTGGGCACCCAGAGTAAGAGGTAAAAGGCTGGAAGGGGGACTCCGAGGGAGCAGCATAGTAGTTCCTGGGGAGAAGGATGGGACGAGGTCTGGGCACTGGGAACCAAGGCGAAGAGGTGTAGAGAAGAGCCCTATGTAAACTTGTGTAAGTCGCGTCCTTCTCCTGGCCCCAGTCTTAGGTGTGCAGGCCTGAGTGCGATGGGGACACGAGGCACACAGATTCGAAGGTCCCACCCCGGAGAGTGAGGGCGCCTCACCTTCTTGAAGTCGGCAATGAAGGAGACGAGGGTGCCGTCGGGCTTGCGCAGCTCGAGGCTGATGCTGTCGTTGTCGCTGTCCGCCTGCAGGCTCTCCTCTGTCACCTGGCCGTCAAGCAGCCGCACGCGGACCCGCAGCTCCGCGGGCGAGCCCACCCCCGCGCCCACGCCGCGCGGCGCCCCCAGTAGCGGTACCAGAAGCGGTAGCAGCATCAGCAGCGCAGGGGACGCCTTAGGGAGTCCGTAACAGCCTGAAGGGCGCATCCCCGTGGGCCACCGCGGCCCTCTACGGGCCCCGGCACGCAGCGTGCGGGCGGGGAGAGGCGCTACAAACTTTGCTCAAAGTTAGTGGCTACTTTGGGGGCTCCTGGGAGCGGTTCCTGGGGGGCTCAGCTGCCAGCCTCCCGCGACGTGGCACGGATACACGTAGGCTGTACCCCGCGACGTACCCGCAGCGGTTGCAAGGCAGACTCGGCCCTCCCAGAGCTCCCGACTCTGCACTCAGAGGCTCTGTTTTGAACTTTTCATTCAATTCCCACAGCACCCCCCCCCACTACCCGCCCCCCCCCCCCCCGCCCCGTCACTTCCTTCAGAAAAGAGAAACCACCTCGTCCCGACAAGCCTTAAAGAGACCGCGCACCTTTCGGCCTTTAAAGGGCCCGCGGAAGCTCCCCGCACTCCAGCAGCGGCCCAAGGAGAGAGGGGACCACTGCACAGCGGCTTTGTGGGAAAGGGGCTTTCTTAATCTCCCTCCCTTACTGCCGCGTCCCACTAGCGGGTGTTAGGGGTTGGTTCTCTGGGTAAATCCCTTCCTCCCGGCAGGGGCGGGGCGGGTGACTCTAATCCCGCCCCTCTTTTTTTTTTTTGCTTGTTCTTGTGCCACGTGGATGAAATAATGGGACTTGGTGTTATAGGGGTTTTGTTTGGCCTTTCAGTATCTCTGACTAAGCGGATTTTCAAAATGCTTCTGCAAAATCAGGCCTCACATCTCACTCAATCTTTGGACTGCCCTTGTCTGGAGAGGGGAGCTAAGGTTGTTGCCTGTTTTGACATCCCTGGGCTGTGAGATCTTGGTAAGCCAGGATACATCTCTGGATGCAGCCCTCAAAGCACTCACATTTTGTGAGCTCCTGCGTGGCTTTCCTTTTCATTCCAGCCTCTCTCTCTTCCTCCATTCAGGGCCTTTCCTCAGTCTTGCCCACCTCTCCGGACCCCCATTTTCTCTCCCTGTTCTCTGTAATAGTCTGAGCAGATGCAGGCAAATGATAGGCTTGAGGCCATTCTGGAGAAAATACAGCGAGTCAGGACACTGGAGCTTGATCATCAGGCCCCCCAAAAATAGAACTAACCTGCCATGCACCCCAATAAAAAAAACTTGGTGAAGGCAGGGGAATCTAGATTCTTGCTTCCTCTGATTAGCTGTGTGATTTCGGCATGTTTAAAACATTCTTTGGGTTTAAGCGTCACCTGTGTATAATGGGTGTTGCTGAGATCTATGGTGTCTTGCTAATCCCATGCAAGAGAAAGCTCCGAGGGGATGCTTGAAACCTTTTGTTCCCTGATATCCATTTATCATTTCAGTTTATTCTATGTCCCCCTATTTCTTTTCTGAGATCTCGATTACAAATAAGTGAATACTCAGCTCTGCAGCCTGCTTCCCTTCTAGGTCTTCCCCAGCACAGGTTCTTATCAGTACCAAAGGTGACAGCAGGTACCCAGGCACACAGGTACTGTGAAAGCACCAATAACAGAGCCAGACTTTCTTTAACTGCAGGGTAAGAGTCAGACCAAAATCCACCTCTTGCTACCAACTCAGGGCTTTTCCTACTATACTCTGCTGCCTAAATTTAGGACTGAAAGGGATTCAAGAGATCATATAACTCTGTTTTTTTAATTTGCCTTACCAAAAAATCAGCTGGTTGCTTGTTAAAACAACAACAACAATAACAACAACAACAACAAAAACCTGGTCCCTAAATCTAGTCAATTAAGCTCCCTAGAGGGGAAAACTCCCCTGAAAATTTGCATTTTGAAACAAAAGCCAGGTGATACTCCCTCCCAGGTGAAGGAGTTGCTAGCTGGTACTTGATAGAAGGTTAAGGACGGAGGATATAAAACAAACAGCATTTTTCCTGGGGAACCATCGTGGCCCCTAAGGAGTTGATGTTCTCATCAGGAAGATAAGGCAGACTGTTAGAGAATAATGGATTTGCACAAAGTAGTCTTTTCTCTTAGAGAGCTTCCCCCACTGAGCTATCAAGACTAACAAGAGAGATGACAGGAGTCTAGAAACTGAGAGGATACCCATGTCAATCCAGCCTTAAAGCTAAGGTTTCCCACGTGAGTTATCCCACAGTCATTAGGGCCTCACCCACATTTCCTGACTTCCCTGTTTCATGTTCTATCCCCCATCCTTCGCCAGCACTGCCCCCAGCCATATTCCCAGGTCCCTTTTCCTTCACCCCAATGAGATCCCAGAAGGAAGCAAAAGAACTCTGTGTGTCTGATTTCTTTTTTAAGGTCTCTGAGGCTCTCTCTGTCACTTTAAATTCTGGGTTTGGAAACAAGGGTAGAAGACCTCGTCTCTTTCCACTACCTCTTCCCCCATAATCACCTTTCTTGTTTAGTTAAACCACAGATCAAACTAGATCAAATTAGTTTTTTTTCTTTTTTTAGGATAGAAAATTTGAAGTCACTATGTGAATCCTACCTCTGTCCCCATTCTTTCCTTTAGATTTTACCTGAGCAGCTATTTAAGATTCAGAACACAACAGGACAGAGTTTCCCAGGAAGACTTCCTTAGGTACTAACATACAACTCAGCTTCAGACTGCTCTCTCCTGCCTCTGGACTTCAACAGTAACAATTATTATAGCAACTCCCATTCATTGTATCCTTATTATGTTCAAGTTCTGTGCCAACCACTTTACATGTATCATCTTTTTAAAAATTTTCATGGCAACCCTCCAAAGTAGGTTCTATTCTTAGCCTAACAAAGAGAGGATTAGACAGGTTGAGTAACATACCCAAGGTCATACAATCAGGAGAGCCAGCAGGGACTCAAACACAAGTCCACTTGACCACAGAGCTCTTGCTTTTAACCACAGTAGCATCTGCCTGGCTATAACCCTTGCTTTCTTCCAGCCCCATGTGGGCATGCATCCTGTGTTATCTTCTGTAATCTAACAGTTTCATGTGTGGCAGTCTTGTACCCCAGTGAGACATCAGTTAGCTCAAACAAGCCAGCCTTGTGCTGGGAACACAGAATCTTTCCCTTAAACCAGCCAAGCATAGAAGCATCCATTCACCTTAAATGTAAACGCCCTCAGAGGAGGAACTCTAACAAGCCTACTTACCCTAACTACAACAAAATGGCTCTCCTTCTCAGAACATTCTTTATGTCTAATCTCAAGCCCTCTGCCACACCACAAACCAATATCCCTTTCTTTCTGATCTCAAGCTCCAGGAAAACAGTTGCAAGTAGAAGTTCAAAGGAAGGACATCAGGCTCTAAATCCTGGATCCTGACCGCTCATGAGCTGTGTGACTCAGTGAGCCCATTTCCCCATTTGTAAAATGGTCACATAAATGCCTACATAATTGGGTTGCTTTGAAAATTAAATGAAGTATTGGGTACAAACACTTCACAGCATACAGTAAAGGCCAAACAAATGGGGCCTATTATTTATTATTTAACATTGGTTATTCTTTCTCATTGTATCAAATATTAAATTCTTGAGTGTTCTAGACATGATCCCCTCCTTCCCTGGCCCACTCTCCTTACACACATATGCACATACTCATTCCGGAACACTTTTTCTCTTTATTCTCTTTTGATCTTTCAGTTTCATGCTGCTTGAGACCTGCAAAATTGGGAAGTGGTCAGCCAAACCTTAGGGGGCACCTCCCTTTTGCTTTTCTGTCTTAGAGTACCTAGAGTTGTCAGGAAGAGCTATGCCACATCTCCCAATCTGTGACCAAGATAACAGGTGTTGACAGAGTCCTATGGAAGGTCAAAAGGGAAACTGAACCAGTAAAGTCTATTAGGAGGAAGGCATAATGCAATAGGGAGTTTGTCTTTGCCTAGAGGAAAGATTTTGTTTTTCAGTTTCTTCTTGTGACTGACTGGCATTTGGCTTGGGTTTTGCTGTAGTCCTCTATTACTGAGCCCTTGAAAGTAGGGCTGAATACTTGTGCTTTGAGTTTAAGAAGGTGCTGGGAATGGGGTGAGAGTGTTCTCCTCTGCCTGTTTAGTCCAACTGCAAAGCTCCAGTCATTTCATTGCCCAAGGAGAACTGAAAATTAGTTTTATAGTATCACACAGTTACCCAGTTACATAAATCCAAGGGTGTAGTGGCAAAGTGGACTGGAGGGACAGTGGGCTTGGTTAGAAAATGGAACAGAAAGAGAAGCTGAGATACCTGGGTGAAAGCCATTCTCCCCAGTCAGAAAACGAGGCCGAGGGGAAGTTTAGATGGAGCTGGGTTGAGTCAATGATGTTTAGAAAGGAAAAGAAAGCCTGAATGATGAGAACTGCAAGAGAAGATACATCTCAGCTCACTTATTCCAGGTCCATGACTCTTGAAGTTTCCAAACATAACCATTTTCTTCTCTGTGCTGGTTCTACTAGGAAGCCTTTCCTGATCTCCTATCTGAACACTCCATTCACTTCATTCATTCATTCATTCATTCAGTTAGTCAGTCAGTCAGACACTGTACTAGATGCTAGTGAAACAAGACAGATGTAATAATTCCCTATCCTGAGATGAAACCTATAGCTACAAAGGGAGTAAGCATTAAAAAATAAGTGCAAAAACAAATATTTAAATTATAATTGTTGTAACTGGGCTACATAGAATTAGAGGAGACTCTAGTCTAGCTCAGGGAGCCTTTGGAAGGCAGCAATGTCTAGGCTGACTTAAAAGATGAGTCAGGATTGATCAGCAAAGATGAGGTCCCAGGCAAAGGGAACAACTTGTGTATGGCCCTGAATCTGATGGGCCCCCAGAAACTTTACCAGCTATCTGAGGTCTGATGTAGAAGGCAAGCTGCTTGAAATAATTCAGGAGAGTTGGGCAGGGGCCAGGTAATGCAGGGCCTTGCAGGAAATATTAGGATGTAAGTTTTGTTTTGTTATCCTAAGAGCAATGGACAGTCACTGAAAGGTATTATATAAGTGAGTGACATGCTTAGATTTATATTTTTAAAAGATTACTCTGGAAGTGAATTGCAGCAGTCCAGATGAGAAATAATGGTGGTTTGGATCATGGTGGTGGCAGTGGGAATATAAAGAGGGATTGGACTTCAGCTGCATTTCGGAAGTAGGATTTGATATTTCTTTGGACTTCGGGGTGAGTGAGAAGGAGGGATCAAGAACAACTCTGTGGTTTTGACCTGGGCAATTGGGTAGCACCGTGAATTGAGATTGGAAAGCCTTGGGGAGAAGCTCTTATACTTTTGGTAGTCTTCAGGTACTTTTCACCTTCTGCCTTTTGTTATAAAGATTTCACAGCATTGTGTTTGAACCAGAG